CGCCTTGTTTATGATAAAACGATGCTCTATCACGAGAAAACAAAATATGTACGATAAACACGTTTCTAGCGTATTATTTGGGGTGGCCGCACATCAGTTTGATTCCGAATTATAAATTATAGTATCACAGTGTTTCTGTACAAACGTAACCTATGCGTTTTATCTGTAAATTGATAAAACATCATTACGACAATTAAGATAATTTAAGATAACAACTATTAGACAGAATCTTATTGCGAGTTGATCGATATGGCCTAACATTTTTATATATTCTTTAAGACTTTCGACTACATCATGGCTTGATCTGATGACGTGGTAGTCGAACACCAGCTAGTTATTAAAAACAAATTATGAACTCTAAATTCGTCTTATGTTGACTCTACATCTTACAAAGTATATCTGCTCTATTAACACGTCGTAACGGACACTGTTGAGCAGAAAATAGCAGTAAAATTGGAACATCGATGAACATAATGCGCGATACTTTTTTCATTGAAAAAAATATCTATATTACTTCGAAAATAACCGAGTCTCGCGCACTCGTGTGAAAAGCTACATGTGTGTTAGTAGCGCTACTTAAAATTTTGAATTTCGAACGGCACTCGCGGCTGCGGCGCCGCCGCGTAATATTTTAGCAAATATTAAAACCGAGGTACAGTACGGCTCACCTATTCGGTACTGTACGTACCGGCCCCGCGTACCGCAGCGCAGGGGTGCCGGACCAGAGCGCCGCCCAAATGTGTTTCCTTCAAATTAAACTAATGCAATATCGGGTACGGATTAATGATACCGCCGAACGCTCGGTTTTATGCATTCCTAATAACTTATTAGCGATTGCGTTGCGTAATGTAGGCTTTTACGCCGATAACATTAATACCGCGATGACATTAATGCCACAGTCGCTTTAGTAAATAACTAATGTTAAATTGATATTCATTGAGTGGCTATTTATCTGTATAATACATAAACCAACCAATTTGAATATTATAGAAGAACGACGTGTTTACAATTACGTTTGCGTATGTTCTACTATGATAAAAAAGTATTGATAATTAGTTCATACAGAAATGATGCCCAGTTGTTGTGTAAATTGAAAAGTACATAAAATGAGTAGGTAAAGGAAAACAAAATGGTGTATTTTGTTTTCGTGAAGTCAGTGCTATGTTCACATCGTTCCTTCCCCAACAACCCAAAGACTGAAAGGGGATGATGCACTGGTTCTCATGGGACGCGTAATTCGAGAACGTAATCCATCTTAGCGTTTTCGAAATATTTTTAATGGAAAATTGTGTGGGCGAAAGAAATCCCCGTCCCAACGGGGACTTGCGGTGGGGTGATTTGGATTATATACTTTTTATGTATAAATGCAAAAAATATATGTGGTATCATTAAATTTAAGCCTGTGCGCTCGAAATGGATTTTATTTCATTAATATTTAAGAAAAATTGTGGCGAAATGTCAAGTTTGTTTCGTGTCTATCAAACGGTTACATTTTGATTATTTTTAGTGATGTTAGAAGACGTGCTTTAAGGGTTGTACTTAAGTCTTTGTCTCTAATCGATATGATCGAATCAATTATGAATCAATTATGTCTCGAATCTCAATACGTCAAAAAGCTTCAAAGCACATATCAAGTATTCAATAATATTTATTATATATCAGAAACTGACGGCGGTAAACAAAGTAAATACTACCCCAAACGAAACAATATAACAACAAAAAGAAACATTTCGCAGGCCATCAGAAGACGGAGCCGATTTTCTTGCCTTTATCGCGTTTCCTATTCCACCGTTAAACAAATCGAGAACGGCTCGAGAAAATGCCTTTACAATCTAAGGTTTTTTGTCCCATTGTCATGCAAACTCGTCGGAATAATTGGCGGGAAAACGGAGACGGCCCAGCCGGCCGTTTCGTGTTTTTCCATTCGGCCAGTGCCTAAGCGCTTGTGCGGAGTTGAACGAATCCGAACGTAGCGAGAACGTTCTAAATTCAAATAGGGAACGTTCTTTTCCATTTCTTTTAATGGCTTCTTCTTTCATTTGCTAATTCGAGAAGAGTCCATTGTTTTGTACGTTGCGTATTTTCGAGTGACTCAATTATTTGTTTCTTTTATCTGCCTCTTCGTAATGTTTTAAATGAATCACACAGAGAAAAATGTAGTATAACAGATATGTTAACAGTAATAATATACGTTAGATCTGAATGTTGAGCTGTTGAATATTTACGTGCGAAAATCGTTTAAATTGAACTTGAATTTTATTAGCAATTAATTGGTCAAGGACTTAAAAACAAAGGCGAGATTTGACAACTGTTTCCTTGTTAGTCGCAGCCTCTTTTATCCTATTAACAAATACATTATAATTAAACCACACGGCGCGTCGTTTTTAGAAAAAAAAAACAACATATTCGTAGCGTTTTCCTTATCAGCTCAATAACATTTTGTTTTTGCAATTAAATAATGTATAATTCTAATCGTATTGCTCGTTTAAAATGTTAGTTGTTTATTGTTGTCGATTTCTTGTCTAATCATTATTAGGATATGTTATTTAATGAGGATATGAATCTGTGTTCGGATTTTTTGGGACTTTAAAGAAGAAGATTTGATTTGCTGATAAAATTCTGTTATTTAAATAAAATCACAAATAAGCCAATAATTCGAAAGTAGAAATAAGTCCTCAGAGTCCATATATTTCGTAAGTAAAATTTAAGAAGGTCGTTCATAAAAAGGATGAGCTCAGAAACAGAATACGTACGTAATACGATTACACGTATTACGAAACTTATTTTTTTTTTAACTATAACCATTTTACAAGCGTGCTCATTTAATGTTACTAGTCAAGACAATTCTAGAAATCTGTATAATTATTCTCCATCAAAGGGCGTACAATGTAAACCTATGTTGCTGGTAATTACACGTAATATAAGTAGTTAATGACGGCTTTGCTTTTTCTGTTAGGTATCGTAAGGAAAGGAAGGCGGCTTGCGTCCATTTATTTTGCAATTCGACCACTGTTAACATCGATTTATTGATTAAAGTACATGTCTTTTGAATAGATGTTTTCATTCAAATTAAGTTTTTATTCCGTTTACCCAAGGGTGTACATTTCATATTACAGATACATATCTGGCAGCGAATAATGTTTGTTGCCTTTGCTGCCAGAAAATACAGTCTCAAAATAAAAAAAGAACGAAACTACAATCGAAAGTCAAAAATATTTTAAACTTGGAATACTATAAGTTTAAAAATATAAATATACATTACAATGTTATATGATTAGTTACATTTAATTTATGAAAGATTTTTTTGTGTTTAATAATTATGTATAAAATTGAAACAGCAAAATCAAAAGGTGTCTTTATTAAAACAAAATGTTTAAAGGTAAAACCCATTTCGAATTTTATTTAATCTCTCCAAAAAATACTGGCCGGTTTTGTTTCGTTGACAGTTACGCATCGAATATGGACAGTGGGCGTGTAGCGATCGCGACAATTAAAAAAAAAAAATGCCGCCATTCCGACAGGCCGCAATTACTGTGTGTAAGGAATTAATATTTTATTGGCGCTGTCAACACATCATAGGTTGACGACGGATTTGTCTTTCGAAGTTTAAAATCGCTTTTAATATTATTGAATTGTACGTGTTCCCCTCGCGTTTATTTCAAGCTATTCTACTAATATGGTATTGCCTATATTGATAATATTATTTGTTTGTTTTAAATATTGACACTTGTATGTTTTCGGTTTCCGTTGGCATGTAATTTTTTTTTATGTGGGAGGGTGGCAAGCTAACTGGCGTTTCACCTGATGGTAAGTGACGACCGCCTACTTCTACTTCGTGGTACTTCAACGGAGGACGTATCCATTCGCACCACAACTGTTGCGTGGACCTATCACAGTTAATTCGTGACTAAGTTTCAACTTATGCCAGCAACTACCACACTCTATTCGAATATGGAAACTTATATAAATTTTTTTCTAACGTCGCCATAATATTATATGAATTATAAAGTATATTCTTAAGTATATTATAAAGTATTTCATCACGCCATTATGAAACGTGTAATCCGACACCAATGGCAGTTTGCTTCAACAAAAAACTCATCCGGCCCGTTAAGTGCGAACTCGCCGAACGGAGCAATTAGATACGTCCAAAGATCTGAATAAAACATCAACCGGACCGGAGCACATAACGGCCGGGGAATACATAAACGCCGCGCTAAGTGAAAAAGATCGCGCGGAAACGTCGTGAGTTACGACGCGCATAATCCAACTGCGGCGCCGCCCACCGGCTAGACGGAAAAAACACGTGAATAAACTTTTTTTTTCTAAGCCACGTACATTCACGTGGCGGCCGCCGCGTGCCGATTGGCCGCCGCCCGCCTCGGCCGCGACCATTGGCCAATTTTTTTTCGCCCGCTTTTCACGTGAGCCGCGTCGATTTTTTCCCGCGGAAAGACCGACGGCCAATCGGTGCCACGCGGTTTGTTAATTATAAAACTAAATCTAGCACGTTGCGCCGCCAATTTCTAAACGAAACTGCATTTCCATCGACGCGGGAATAATCGGTTATGACGCTCCGATGGTTTTGAATTTGGAACACTGTCGTCTCCCCGCGTCGCGCGGTCTGCGGCCTACTTTAGCTTTTTTTTTTCGGCGGATATTCTAATTAAAATTTATCGCTCTTCCGTTCGATATTTCAATGTATTTATTTACCTATTCGAATGATAGAATATTTAGTCGAATCGAATTGATATAAATAGACGAATGTACTGTCGCATTGTACTGTATTTTTATTTAATCGAATATTTAGTCGAATCGAATTAATATAAATAGAAGAATGTACTGTTTTTTTGTATTGTAATTTTTATTTAGTCGAATCGAGTTGATATAAATATAATAATGTACTGTTGTATTGTATTGTATTTTTTATTTTAATCTCCATGAGGTAAATGTAGGTAGTGTTTTATGAGCAAATGCGTCACACAACAGATGGAGCTTACCCGTGTGTAGTCTCGTATGCTGCTGGACGTGGCTGAGCTGCTTGAAGCGGCGGTCGCAGTAGGAGCACTTGTACGGCTTCTCGCCCGTGTGCACGCGTATGTGCTGCACCAGCTGGTGGTTCGAGCTGAACGACTTGAGGCACTGCTGGCACTGGTGCGGCTTCACCTCGCCGCCTAGGCCGCGCTGCAGCTCGCGCGCGTGCATCTGCATTGCGTTCTTGTGCATGAAGATCTGGAACAAGCGATCGGTTTGTGCCAGCGCGCTGGATCTTTTTCATCACGTTGGCGAGAGCTGACAATATGCTCTCCCCCCACGGTTCCACTCAAAACCAGCATTCACGAGAGTCGTCGATTTCGTGATATCAAGCCGAGTATGTATCTGTTTTTTTTATATGTACCAAATGAATGTTTCTTTCTCTCTTTCTTTCTTTCAATACACACTGACGGGCTACACGAGTAAGTTGCTGTTGCGTTGACAACCCTTAAGTTTAAATATGAATGCTTCTAACAGCTTAAGGCTGGCAGTCATTAAGGCCGTGTTTGACCGAGCTCATTGTCTCTCTCATCATATGCAACTGCAGACACTGGTTTGTTCCTCCGCTTTAGTGATGGTAGATCAATTCTGGTTTACTTGCGGGTTTTGCGCTGAGGTTTTTGAAAATCGAATTGTCTTCATAGATTACGAATATTTTATAAAATTTCCTTTTATTTGCCTTTGCAACCGTTAATCATTAGAATTTCCTTCACCATAATTCCAGATGGGCTAAATGTAATAACTAGTTAATTCTTTCCTGTCACTGCTGTAAACTTTAATTTTTTGTATGAATATTACATTTTAAATAATCTATTAACGAGGCTATATGTATTGGATCTGATCCTCTTTGCCTACATAACGTGGAAGAATATTGTTAAAAGTTCGGTAGAATCATTTTGCACACACAGAACACGGTCCTTAAGGCCCATTTACACGATGCCATTTTCTTGTACATACAAGAGTAATAATTGAATGCAATAAATTGCGCGCAATAATTGTTAAGACCATTTGTTGTTTAGACCATGCAACTCATTTATTGCTTCAATTTAATTGTATACAACAGGCAAGAAACTGGCACCGTGTAAATGGGCCTTTAATTTTGAGAACACGCGACGATAATAATCATCAAAACAAAAATTGCCAGATTCCATTTCTCAATTTGATTCGAACACAATATCCTGAATTAAATAAAAATTGGCCAACAACGAAGTAATGAATTTGTCGTAGGTAATAAAATAAGTTAAATTAAGAAGATAAAACGGCTGTGGTATTATGAGGAATAACATATGAAGGACATATTCTATTTGCTTTGCGTCTAACGCATTATAATTCTGTACTTTTGGCTCCATTTTTTAGTGGAGTTCAATTTACTTTTTTTGCAAATAAACATGCAGTCCATACCGTTTTATTGCCTTTTTTTATTATTTTTACTTATATTTAATTTAATCATCGTGTGCTTTCGGTAGCTTAACGCATATAATTATGGTGTATCTAATCCGTGACACGCGCTGTTTTCCATTTATATTTGAGTTATAGCAATTATTATTATTGCCGTAATACACTGAAACGGTATATATCGTATACGATAGTAGTTGTAGCCTCCAAGTTCACACATATATGTGTGAACTTGGAGGTCTTACATGTATACCTATTCTTGAAATGTCACTGGACACATTGATGATACAATCTAATTTCGATTAATCGCTAATGGATATATGTGAGTGCAGCCCGAAGAGTAAATCGCACAGGTCACGCGTATTTTAAGGGTTATGTACCCAAAGTGTAAAACGGGACCCTATTACCAAGACAAAAAGTGATAGTTAGACGGTTGAAATTTGCACAGATGGTGTATTTCTGTTGCCTCTATAGCAAAAAACACTAAAAATCAGAATAAAAAAATATTTAAATGGGGTTCCCATACAACAGACATGATTTTGCAGTTTTTATAGATAATAGTACTGAACCCTTCGTGCACGAGTCCGACTCGCACTTGTTAATTTAAAACCCCTTTGTCCATACCGTAGAAGAATATTATCCTGTGTTATAAGGACGTTTTACTAACATGAATATCACGTGGACAAACAACCAGTTCAGAAACAATTATCTGTCGGTCACACGAATGGTTGTCCCGTGGGGGAATTGAACTCAGAACACCCGGCGCCGAAGCCAATACCTTTGCAACTTCGCAACGGAGTCTCTCAATCGATGGCATAAGGCCCGTCAACCTCCAAATTCGAGGCGATACCGCAAATAGCGCCGTTCTAATCACGGTCCTTTATTCGAATGCACCGTCGTGATAGCCGAAGCGAAATATATCTCGCTAAAACCTCGCACATGCTCTGAAATAAAGACAGTAACACACCGAACCGGAAGCGATATCCAAATCGCTTCTAATACCCGCTTTTACAGAACGCCGTCGCGGAATGGATCGACGCATGTGTACATAAGGCCGGTCGCCCACCGCACCGGGGCGATATCGCCGAGCCGCGCGGCGCGTACGTGTGGAGTCCACATTACGTAGAGCGGCGTTAACTTTGGCGCCGCACGTGCTATAATTTCGCCGCGGCGAAGAAATTGCCTTCGAACCGCGGCCGAGATAAGGCGGAATTATAGGACTTGATATTATTTATCGCGGCCGTTAGCCACACGTCGCGTTCCCAACAGTCGAGGTGCATAACAAGACTTTTGGGAGATCCCCTTCGATTCGCGCGGTTTCTATGAGGCAATACGTAAGTTTCACGCTAGGGTAATGGGCAAGGAGATTAACTCGGTTTTCGTTCCAAATCCACATGTAACAGTTTTGAAACGTAAGCCGCGACCAAATAGATGATTCATTATTCTTTTAATTCATATTAGTCAATTCGGTAACACATAAAAATGTTAAACATTTGTGAAAATAACGTATATAGGTTCTGTGTAATGTTTTTGGAGAAATCTACTCTTTGCCGTTGTTTTGCATTAGTTATCATAATACAATAATTCAGTAATGAAACCAATAAATGGAAATTAATGTTTGTACGCTTGGCCTCTGTGCGTTTCTAAGCAATTCCGACTGTGGGAAATGTTTTCGACTCATTCTGTGCACTGAGATTTCTGGCCTATAAATTTAAATTGTGCTATGCATATTTCTTCTCCATTCAAAAAGTATAAATGACGAATTATTTACGTGGTATTGCGTGCCAGATGCTAATAAATAACAAAAAAAAAAACAAATGTCAAACGTCATCCGTCATTTGTGCGACCAATTTATCCGTTTTTATGTAACACCAGTTACATCGAAAAGTTCTATAGGGAGCGTCATTTGCATTTTGCGTACCTATAATTTAATCTCGTCGCAATCTGAACTAGGCACAGTTTATATGCGCCGGTGTATTTATTGAAGGCCCTTCGTTCTTGCGATCGCGAAGAAACTGCCTCAGACACGCGAAGCTACAACAGAGGCCGAAAAAACGGGACGCGCTTTAGTGTGGGACGGTCGTTACACGAATTCCGGAATTTTACCGTTTAAGGGCTACGCAGCATCTTGTGTTGAGTATTGATATTGGGTAATTAAGAAGAAACAAAATGTGTTAGAGACGAGAGTGTGGTAAGTGGAAGCAAATATATTTTTGGTGAGTGATTAAAAGATGTATCTGCTAACTCAAAGATGCTCTAGATGAACTGTTGCGGTGATGTGTTAACATCAGGACTGGCCAATGATGGATTCTGTCCGTTTATGAAGGAAAAAAAACAGTAATTACCTCCGGAAATATCCCCGCATTCGACATAAAGTTGTAGGGCCACATACTCATTAACATATTGCTTTACAACACACGCGTGCTTATACACAAACGGTCATAAACCAAATGACCCGTCCGCACCTTTTTGGGGAAGGAAAACGGACGAGAACGCGACGTTTCAGATGAAAAATATATGCGCAGTTTTTACGATTTTGTTTAGAGGGCAATTAAAATGTATTTTTCAGCGAGACAACAGGAAAACCAGATGAGATTTATTTATATACACCATGCGCGACGTCGAAATTGTTATTTTAATTGCCATAAATGCCGACGTTCCATTATCCTGTTTTGTTTTTATCGTTTGAACGGTATAGTGAATTATTGAAAAAATTATGTGTGTACTTATGGACTTACGTAAGAAGTTATACTTATTTAGCGTAACAAAAGAAAAATAACTAATAATTTTATCCCCTGTGCCAGTACTTTTTGTTTGTGAAAAATGCATTGAATGCAATATGTAACCGTTTGATTAAATAGATTAGAATTATAGGTAAAAGTCAAAAAGTTGCTATTGGTTGCCATGGTCAATCAAATTTATCATGTCGCTTTTTGGCTGTCGGTGCGCGCGTATCGTAAAAAAATTATTCTGATAACTTTTTCTAAACGCGACTAAAGAAGTATAACTTGAAAAAGTTTTTGAAAATAAGAAATGAATCTATGGCGTCTGCTGTTTAAAATGTTGAATGTCATTTGGCTACGAGAGAATATGTTGGAGAAGCGTCGGATAGGTATCAGAAAGAAATTTCTGTCTAACTCTGTGTCAAACCAAGGAAGATTTATAGAGTACATTACAACAGAAAATTATTAATGGAATTAAAATAAATCCATACTGTTCACGTTACCTTGGCGCGCTGTGTAACCCTTTCACGCGTGTTAGAAAGTGGAACTAGACGTTTCGATCACGCAACGAAGAAATTGCAAAGAATTAATGCTTTCGATACGGCATGACGCCGGGGTCTTAGGTCCTGTCCCGGAAGGCTTAACGACGTTAGTTATTGTGGCTATCGATGATTAAATACGGACTTAGCCGGTGGACTGTTATTTATTCGGAATTTAGACTTAAACGCCTCCGTTATAGTTAAGGATATCGTGTGACTAAAAGCCATTCGATCGAGATATATATTTATTTATAAAACTCGTCTTTATTACTATTTGAATATTTATTTATATATTCAAATAGTAATACCTTTGTTAACCTTACGAATGTTGTGTTTTTATGGCTCTTTCAAAAGCTTCTCCCGCCTTCTAGCTAGTTCGAGTTCACGTGCGAATTTGTTGTCTGTTTCTAACATTAAACTTAAGGAATTGAAAGAATTTTGTTGTTGTTGTCGTTGAAATATTATAAGATGTGATAAATAAATGACCCGCGTGCCGATTTTGTTGCTTTTCTCGATGAAACACAAGATGTGATAAAATAAA